ACATGTGGCACGTTTGACGTAACACAAGATTATGGAGTTGGGTTGGGAAGTTTTCCCCCACCCACCATATTCTCCAGATATGGCACCATAAGATTACTCTCTTTTTCATTCGCTGCAACACCATCTTAATGGGAAAACGTATGCAAATGTGGAAGGAGTTAAAGAGGACATCGACATGTTTTTTTGCTTCAAAGCCAAGTGATTTCTTTAATCAGGGTATTCACAACCGGATTGTAAGATGGAAAAGCATCATCGAAAATAATGGAGACTATTTCATTTAATCTATGTTTTGTTTCGATATATAAGTTATTCGGGTTTTTTCATGTACTAAGAACGACATTAATTTCTTGACGACCTAATACAAATGAATTTTTCTCTGTTGTGAATGTCGATTAATGCTAGGTTGTTAACCATTTATGATAGAATTTTAAACAAAATATTAATGCAAGGTTTCAAAGTTGTGCACAAATTCTGACAAACCACCGAAGGAATGAGTTTAGATTCATGTTTATCAGATTTGTTGAGTGAAACATGTGAATGATACAGCAGTAACATGCGAAACCTTCACTTTGAATATACCAACTTAAAACACCCGCACTCCGCTGCTGGTTTGAAAAGCCACGTCATAATTCACAGTCTCCAATGTGCTAATCAAGCTTCTTGATTATCGACAGTTATTTATATACCAAGAAGGTTCCATACCCGAAAAGAAATCACTTCAGGACATTTATTCGTGTTATTTGAGCGCTAAATTTGGTCCCGCTAACTGGTGAGTGGGATTATGATCACAGTTTCAAACAATGGGGGCCAGTGATACAAAATCTAATGATAGATTCGGGTTCAGCGAGTCTGAAAAACTTGCTCTTATACCCTTATCATTCCTAAATGACTTTCTGGGCGAGTTTTATTCTCCCTTCTTAGGAGCTATCCCAATTAGGGAAGGTTCCCCACCTGGTCTCCCCCGAGTCCACCTGTGTGAGGAGTTCGTGGAGTAACAAACACACAACGTGAATTACTATAAAATGGCATAGTACGGAAGCCAGTATAATAAAAAAAAGTTTGTTTTTTAAAAACAGGAGTTATTTATGGATGACACCTGTGAATATTTAGGTCTTCCTTATAATGGAAAGTTTTTAATTAGTTCTGTTTCGGCGATAAATAATTATATAATCATTGTAAATTAACTCTTTCGTGGCAAATTCACTATGCGTTACCAAAAGTTAAAGGCTTTTAATTCGAGTTTCAAAACACTTCCTTTGTAATCTAGAAAACTTAATGTAACACATATATTAAAATTCCTCATTCTTATCCTTTTCATATGAATAACTTCATTTTCAAAATTAATTTGAATAATAATTTATAGTTTAGCTTGTAGGTATCCCATAACGTTGTCCAGTGATAACAGCACCTATAAAAATGCCATCAGTAATAATGCAAAGAATAAATCAACGTCGCATTAAAAATACTAGTAGCAATGCTGTGTAGGGAAACACTTTTAATATATAGAAATAACAAACATACTGTTTCGGTATTGTTGTTTAGTTTTTTTCCTCGGGAAGACACTTTGACATTTCTTCCCCTACTTTGCATTATCAATGATGCCATTTTTCATGAATCCTTACAGAACAGCCTAAGATGTCAAACAATACTTATCTTTCTGTAATAGCAGTGATACTAGATGTTAAGTTATGAATTACAATTTTGAAGGTTGTGATACGCGAGAAGAATGAGTACATATGAAGAATGATGTCTTTAGGTTTAATAATTTGTTTGAAGTACATGTGAAGAATGATGCATTTGCTTTTGATAGTTTTTGAAGTACATATGAAGAATGATGCCTTTGGGTTTGGTAGTTTTTTTCGAAGTACATATGAAGAATGATATCTTTGAGTTTGATAGTTTTTTCGAAGTACATATAAAGAATGATGCCTTTGGTTTGGTAGTTTTTTCGAAGTACATATGAAGAATGATATATTTGGGTTTGATAGTTTTTTTGAAGTACATATGAAGAATGATATCTTTGGGTTTGATAGTTTTTTCGAAGTACATATGAAGAATGATATCTTTGGGTTTGATAGTTTTTTCGAAGTACATATGAAGAATGATATCTTTGGGTTTGATAGTTTTTTCGAAGTACATAT